GAAGGTATCCAAGAATTCTCAACAAGAAGAGCCTATCACTGTATTGTTAGGTTGACTAAACTGTCAACCGTATCAATACAGCAGGACTAGGAGATGTAGATGAGCAGGATATTGAGGAGTTACAGCAGGTTTCTGGTGAGAGTCTTATCAACGATGACCTTCAAGAACTGGCAGAACAAGGAATTCATGTAGAACTAGAAAATAGAGATTCTGAAAACGAACCCAAAAAATTTCTCTATGGATTTCTTTAGTAAAAATTTGATAACAGTAACTGAAATCATTGATCAAATTGTAGCAAATGATCCAGAGTTTGAAAGCAACCTCGTTTTGCTTTTGTGCAAAAGCAAAACGATCTGGATCATTTTGGATGTGATCGCTTACTTACAAATCAGTATAAAATATAATGACCTCATTTAATACTACCGACATTTGCTTAAGGAAAGAAAAAGAAAATGACAAATAAAACTATACGATTTTATCGCAAAATATCAAGAATTTCAGAAGAGCCAGAACCTTCATCACAGAGAATGAACTTCACATTTTTTTATGCATATGTTTATGTGTTATTTAACATATATTAGTATGCAAATCAATATAAAAATAATTTAAAATTAAAGAAAAATCTGTTTATTTTTGTTTTAGTGTTCCCCTATCCCTATTTACTCTATGTTAAAATGACCTCGGTTAATGCTGTTTCATTTAGCACTTTGTGTCTAGGAATGCATCCCCCGCGTTAAGCAGGGTCTTACTGTATCTTGTATTACATAACAGAGAAGTTTCATAGTAGAAGGCTACATAATGAAGAAAAGTTTCCAAAAATTTAGGTTAATGAAAGTATCTCAGATTTCTGTTTAGAATGATTATGATTAAAAACTTAAGTGTTGGTCCACAAGGTCGGTACATAATAAAACAGTTGTTATAAACAAAAAATTACAGGGCAAAATATTCATGCATGCTTACAAGTGAGTGCAGCAAAATCTTTGGCATTTATCTCAAAAGACTGTGATTTCTTAATTTTGTTCATACAGCTATGGTAATAAGATTTTGGTCTTGTGAAAATAAGATTTCATGAATTTATTTATTAAGAGTTTCAGCTGTTCTTTCTCAACTCCTTGTAAGGAAATTTTAAGATATGAATATAATCAGCTCACAACATCTCCATACTCCTTGCTATACTTCTTTTCAAGTTTTCTTTTTATTTGATCACATGATCACAGATACAGGTATGCTGTCTAAGAACTATTAGTAAATAGCATCAAAAATTAATTTGATCCTATTATGAATACTAAATTAACACAAATGAATGATCTGTGTCAAAGTTCAATATCAACAAGACCAATGCAATTTTTGTGACAGTTTTTAAGCATGCTATTTGTACCTAGTCTATTGTGTTGCGTTTTGATTTTCTCCGTGTAATTGCCATGTATTCTGTACTTTAATATTATCCAGAGAAATATTGTTTTTCATTAATATATAAACATAGTTGAAGACTTCTTTTTTACATAATTGTCTTTATAGTTTATAATTTACCAAGGTGTCTTTATTCATGTATAAGCCATATTCTATTTCTGAAATGATATACTTGGAAGAAAAATAAAAATCTCAGAATTCTGCCAAGAGATGAGAGTAGAGAGACAGTGTAAAATATTGACCTTTTAACAGAGTGGGAACAAAAGAGGTGCGACCTTGTCAATTGGACCCATGTGCGGTCTGGCAATATTCCACTTTGTAAGGTGTTGACTTGTAAACAGAGGGAAAACAACAGAAGCGCTGACTTTGTCAATTGGACCCACCTGTAGTCAGACATTAGACCATTTGCCATATGGCAGTGTTTTTCAACCTTCTTGAATATGCGACCCTTTACAAGTTAAAAAATTTTGGTGACCCCAGGGCCCTATTAAAATTATATCAGTGATTTTAAAAACTATGTATTTAATTTTCTTTCTATTGAGACAAATTATTGTTGATTAAAATGAAAGTTTTATAAGAATCAACAATAACTTAACACAGATAAAGTATGAAACTTTCTTTAATTATAACATTGGGCACAGGGAGCCGTTGACTTTTTTTTTCCCCTGGCCCAAGCCCCTCCCTGGCTACACCCATGGTTGAGACCTAAATATCGATCAAAACACCAATTGTACTGTAAAATAAACAGGTACAGCCTTCTTGTGAAATTGTAGGTTTTTTTTTTATGTAGTGTACGACCTACAAACACTTGTCTTTTTCTTTTACCCGCGACCCACAGGTTGAAAAAAAATACTGCCATATGGTAAACAACTGAATATAAACAAGTGGTGGACGTTTATGTGAGCTCCATTCTCGCGGGATGACGGCAGACCTGAGTGTAAGCTGTTTGGGCAGGAAAGGGTTGTGATTGGTCGGAAGTCCCTGTATAAAAAGCTCTTAAATTGCGGGGCGAATGAGAGAGCAAGAGACTGGTACATTTTAGTCTCAGGCACTTGGGATACCCGCTGAGCGTAGAGAGAGTGTTCTCCTCTGGTAAACATCTCAGGGACAGGTTAGTGCGGAGACTGGATGGACCGTGCAGTTGAGCTAACTCCACAAGCTGACTGAGGCCTCTCCAAAGTTTAACAGTTCCTGGAAACCAATCTAGTACGTGAGTCACTATGCATTGTTATCCTGTATATATATTATGTTTTCGAACTTGTACTTTCTGCATATAGAATTTGTAAATAAACTGTAAATATTATCAATTTGAGTGTGAAGGTATGCTTTCCGTCGAAACGTGATACACACAGAAACCAACTCAACGAGACGGAGGTTGGGAAAGAACTGCACTCAGGTCTTCACTCACAGGTATACAGAAATATAATAACACTGCAAATTCCAAACAAAAGGATGAAGTGATGGTTAATATTTATTGTTGAGTGTCTGATCAGTATATGTTAAACATGGGTTGAGTGAGAGTGAGTTACACAGTGAAGTATAAATTGCAAGTGGTGCATTATGCACAAGAAAATGGAAATCAAGAAGCNTATTTCAATTAAAAAAAAATGCTTTTCAATCTTAAACATAATATTTTATTTACTCATCTTGTTGAATAGATACTATTCTTATTATCCCAAGTGAAAAAATACTTTATACACAATTATAGTATAAAAAATTCGGCATCAAAGTTTCGGGTATCTCCTACCCACCTCATAGCTGGTATAACAATTTCTCACCTCATTCACGCCGGGTTAATTTAAAATCTTAACTATTGGAACAATTTCATATATATAAAACCAATCAGATATTTTAACAGTGATGTTAGTAAGTGATTATTCTGATATAATCACAAATCCTACACTTTTAAGGTTTAGGAGTGTTAATTTATATGCTTTCCAGTATTCATGTAAGAAAACTTTTAAATCCTGCACCTTTGATTGACCCTTAGTACATATAAAAGAATTGATTATTTGTAATATAAAATATGATAAAAATTTCAGTTTAAATATCTTTAAAAACTGCAAGTGCCATTTTAATTCCAGTTAAAACAAATGAAAATAACGAAAGTAATTATAATCCACAATTTAATGTTCAGCACTATCCATAAATAAGTACATAAGGTTAAATTGTTATTTTTACTATTTTCTATTTACTGTCACCATACAGTGGTGACAGTTGCATTTCATGATATTGGTTTTACCATCATTTTTCAAAAATTGAAAGTGACAAATATTTGTCACTTTCAATTTTTGAAAAATGATTTGTTTTGAAAATTTTTGAAAAATGATTCATAATTTGTCACTTTTAAGATTTTGTTTCCAATTTGAAGATTTGCTCATTTACATTCCATTACAGACTTGTCTTCAATGACTGCAGATTTTCTGTTCCTAAGTCTAGAATTTTTGCTCTTACTAGATCCTCTTAATTTTAGTTTCTTTGGAAATGCATTAATCTCTTTCTTGTTATATGTTAGTTGTTTGGTTCTACATTTATGCCTTTTTCTTGTTTTAATCTTTCTTCTAAAATTCATTTGCAAGCTGCAAAGAACTGGCTGTTCCTCTGCTTGAATTGCCATAAATTTGACTTGGGTTGTTTTGCTACATATACAGATGATGATAGAAAACATACGTTACCATTTATCACAAAATGCAGTAAAATGCTATGTTAATGATGTGAAACTGTCAAATGTTTTATCAATGGTTACATTGTTAAAACTAGTGTTGCCAGAAAATTTTTATCATAATTATTTTAAAAGTGAATGAGAATTATTCTCATTAATATTAAAGTAGCAGAATGATTGAATATTTATTTATATTAATATTTTTTTATGGGAAATTGTTAATTAAATGCATCATCTGCTTGATAATCTATTTCTTCAAATAAAACGTAACATACAGAAGAATAAAATTCAATGACTATGTTTGCATATATGTATATATAAATTCCTATAAATAGTCAATTATTTACAATTATTATAAGTATAAATAGCTATTTGCTTATTTTATGTGCATATTCAGTATATCTTTATTTTGTATACATTTTAAATAAAATTTACAAAAATTATTTTCAAGCTATAAATATTTTCATAGATTTTAAACTAATAAAGATCTATTATATTTTATGAAGTCTGAAAATTTATTTTTTACTAAAGCGGGGCTTCTTAAACTATGTGTCACGACCCCATTTAGGGTCACTTAGCGAAATCGTGGGGTCGCGAGATTTTAATGCAAAATTTTGACAATAAGTTATGAGAATTTGAAAATGAGGCATGCTTTGTGTCATAAGTTTCGTCAGTTGCGCTTTGTGTCACTTCTGGTGCAGCGAGTCAATGATTCAACAACACTGATTGTAGTGTAAACTAGTGTAGTCTTGTCACTTTTCAGCGCATTTATTCAGTTGTTTCTGTTCAATTGTAACACAAGAGTGAAGTATGGTAGCACACCATTGTTTTTGCGAATTTGTATATATCTTTATTTTATATTTTTGGGTCGCGAAAAAAATCACAATCATATATGGGGTCATGAATAAAAAAAGTTTAAGAAGCCCTGTACTAAAGTATCAAATATTAAAAATTTATAGCAAATTATGTAATTTCTTTTGTCTTGTAGCCTTCTTTACAAGGGGATGGATCTATTGATTCTACTTTTCAACCTCCAGTAGTTAATGGTGGAGCTTGGGGTATGTATAATAATAAAGTTTATGACCATACATTTTTTATAATAAGTTATTTTAGAACTAATAAAGCATCATTAGAGATAATTAATATAAGCATCCAATAGAAATCCTTTAAGTGTGTGTTTGTTTCCCATAAAATATAGATGTTTTGATGTAATTAATTTTAGTTATGAAAATAATTACTCTTCTTGCTAAAGGTTGCAGTAATTCTGTTTGCTTATGCCAGTAAATATAGATTGCATATGAGTCAACCAAAATGGCTGCCACAAAGGCTATAGTATAAAGTGCCTGACAACATACGATGGATGATAAAGACAACATAAAAAAGGAAGAGAAAGCTGGAATATATAAAATACCACTTGAAAACCAACAGTTAGGAATCTAAAAGGATTATGTGGGTTTGACTAGAAGAAACCTTGCAGTACATCTGTGAGAACATAAGATATAATGTTGACAAAAGACACAACACAATATTAGCGATTATGGTGCAGACTAAAGCAGCGGTTGTAAAATGGAAATAGGCAAAAGTCGTTAAAAGGGTGCACTCTCCATCCATTGCATTTGAGATGGGAAAGGTTGAAATTTATAAAAGTAAAATGAAAAATTGTTGCCTAAATGCTAGGGATGCTAATGTGATTCCAACAGCAAGGAAATATATAATAGAAAAAAGAATGGGGCTTAAAAACCGTTAAATCATATTTCTTTCTAGTTAGCTTTGTTTTATTTGTTTATTTAATATACACACTTCTTTTAATTTATTTTTAAAGTTAAATTATTTTTTTGAATTTTAAATATGTAAAATATTCAAAAACAGTATGTTTCATGAAAATGGCTTATATTAGAAAGGTTGAAAATGTTTGTAAAAATAAAAGAATTTTAAGCTCAGCAAAATTAGATGTTGGTGAAATTGAAGTGATAATTTCAGTTTTATTTCCCACTTTTTTTGCAATAATTTATCTTTTGGGAATATGTGCATATGTACTGGGTTTGATGACCCTTTAGACTTACATCCAAATACACAGCAATACTTATTATTTACCATTGTAGGTTAAACACTTTCTAATTCTAACAGACCACAGACTTTATACCCATAGCAGCTGTTATTTAGTTCATGCTAATACCATTAGGTGTCAGATCTATTGTTGGCACAGGCAAATTGACATAAATACAATAGAAAATAGCAGAAAGCAAATGTAAATTTAATATAACATTTTTTTTTTTTTTTTAAACAAATGCTTTATCACTACAAACATTATAGTGATAAGAGTGTTTTATAAATTTAACTGTAAGTAAATAGGAAAAAAATGTTTAATAATCCATATATATAAAAAAATTAATTTACATGCATCATACACACACAGACAGTATTAGTATTATGCGTATCTTAAAGTTGTAATTATGAAATTAAATTGTTATTTTTAAAATAAAATTTTTGATACAAAAATGAGGTTTAACATATATCTTATTTATCAATCAGAAAAACCAAGAAATGCAAAAGTTCACTGTAGTCAAATTGGAAAAAAAATTCAATTAGTAAAGAGAGGTTCCAAACAAGACAATGGAATTGATATAAGAAGTAAAAGTCCTTCAGGTAAATGACTATTAAAATATTATTTTTCTGTTTTAACATAAAACTAAAACAAGATCTTATAATTTGATTTTAAACCAAATAATTATTTATACTATGACTTTTCCAAATTAAATATAACAAGAAGTTGTTAATTAAGAAGTGTGTGTGTTGTCATGCATATTTTGTGATATAATTGATAAATATGAGAATATTGTGATTACTGTTTGATGTTTTTTCCCTTTATCTTTTGGGACAACAATGTGCTGACAAAACTCAAATTCTTTCCATCTTTATAAACTGTATGCATGATCAAAACTTGCTTTTGAAATGCATTTGTGTTTAATTTATTAGATTTACTTTGAATAATTAAATATAATTAAACTAGATGTGACTTTATCATTCTAAGGATATCTTTTTTATTCATAATTAAATAAATTTAGTTAGTTATGAAATGTGTAAAAGTAGTGTGAAATGAAATTTGAATGCTCAACTCTCTCAAACTAAGCATATATGTTGCCAGTTGTTCAAACATTGGAAGCAAGATCCTTTACCAGTCATAATTTAGAAAATATGAAGACTTTTTTCCCTCCCTGCAATGGAATCCTTACCAGTAAGTCATGACAGCTGCTGTCTTGTTAGGCTGCAATAGAAAATGAGAGTATTTGGGTTGACGGGGGTCACATTTACTATGACAGCAGGCAAAAAGGTATAGACTGACGTGAAGACTTCATTTCTATTTGTCATTGAACACCAAATATAGCATGGAAAGCTTCCATTGTGACTATATGCAAGAATTTTTTTTCAGTTATAAAATGCTAATCAAATTAATGAGAGATAATATTTTGTTTGAAAAAGACCAACCTTCTTATGCAATAGTCACCATTGAACTTAGACTAGGCTGTAGTTAACATGTCATCCAACAAATAGGTTTAAAAAAAGTAGCTTTGATTCATTGCATGAATGTTTTACATAATTTAGAACAAATATACAGTAACTAGCTGTTACTTGTGACTTTGCCCGCAGAGGTTTTGCAAGCAAACCCCATTTATATTCAGTATTTCAATGACCATAGTAATTGTTATATAACACCTACCGCTGAGAATGATGAAAATTGTTGAGAATCAAACNGTGTAAACATTTGAAAGGAATAGCCATAGGTATGAAGAAATACGCACAATTTATTGCATAAAATATGTACTTACGTCAATACAGTTTGATAACAATGACACGTATCGTGAGCAATGGTGAACTTTTCAAACATACTCGACATTAACTTGTTATCACTGTGAGATAGTTTGCCTTTCTGTTGTTTTTTATGTGATGTTATACATTTGTTTTTTGGTTATCTGTTACTCGCCTGAAGAATTTTATGACTGTTCAAAAACATTTGTGGGAACTTTTTCTTTTTTCTTTTTATTTAAAAATCGCACTGTAAAAGGTTTGTGGATGTAAATTTCTATTTCACGGTGTTGTGATAAAGTTTTATTTTATTATTGTGATGTAATTAATAATATATAATGCATGTTGCAAGTTGGTGTGTTTGACTAAATTGTCATACATTTCTGACTTTCAAGTGTAGTGTTAGCTTGTTGTTGTTAATTTAAATTACAATAAATGAAAATACAGTAAGACCCGCTTAACACTGATTTGATATAACGCGGTCTGCTCTAAGCCTACAAAAAGCTCAAAATTTACGCCGATTTAAATTATTGTGGCATTTCATTGATTTGTATATAATATGGTTATTTATAAACACAGACCAATCAGAAAAAGGTGGCAGAAAGGTGTATTTTCTTTAAATCTATGTTTGGTGCAATTTTGGAAAAAATATAACATTATGGATGCCATAGGCAATATCGGCTTTGCTTGGAAAGAATTAACCGATAATTGCATGAACAAAGTGTGAAAGAACATATGGCTGAAGGTATCCAAGAATTCTCAACAAGAAGAGCCTATCACTGTATTGTTAGGTTGACTAAACTGTCAACCGTATCAATACAGCAGGACTAGGAGATGTAGATGAGCAGGATATTGAGGAGTTACAGCAGGTTTCTGGTGAGAGTCTTATCAACGATGACCTTCAAGAACTGGCAGAACAAGGAATTTATGTAGAACTAGAAAATAGAGATTCTGAAAACGAACCCAAAAAATTTCTCTATGGATTTCTTTAGTAAAAATTTGATAACAGTAACTGAAATCATTGATCAAATTGTAGCAAATGATCCAGAGTTTGAAAGCAACCTCGTTTTGCTTTTGTGCAAAAGCAAAACGATCTGGATCATTTTGGATGTGATCGCTTACTTACAAATCAGTATAAAATATAATGACCTCATTTAATACTACCGACATTTGCTTAAGGAAAGAAAAAGAAAATGACAAATAAAACTATACGATTTTATCGCAAAATATCAAGAATTTCAGAAGAGCCAGAACCTTCATCACAGAGAATGAACTTCACATTTTTTTATGCATATGTTTATGTGTTATTTAACATATATTAGTATGCAAATCAATATAAAAATAATTTAAAATTAAAGAAAAATCTGTTTATTTTTGTTTTAGTGTTCCCCTATCCCTATTTACTCTATGTTAAAATGACCTCGGTTAATGCTGTTTCATTTAGCACTTTGTGTCTAGGAATGCATCCCCCGCGTTAAGCAGGGTCTTACTGTATCTTGTATTACATAACAGAGAAGTTTCATAGTAGAAGGCTACATAATGAAGAAAAGTTTCCAAAAATTTAGGTTAATGAAAGTATCTCAGATTTCTGTTTAGAATGATTATGATTAAAAACTTAAGTGTTGGTCCACAAGGTCAGTACATAATAAAACAGTTGTTATAAACAAAAAATTACAGGGCAAAATATTCATGCATGCTTACAAGTGAGTGCAGCAAAATCTTTGGCATTTATCTCAAAAGACTGGGATTTCTTAATTTTGTTCATACAGCTATGGTAATAAGATTTTGGTCTTGTGAAAATAAGATTTCATGAATTTATTTATTAAGAGTTTCAGCTGTTCTTTCTCAACTCCTTGTAAGGAAATTTTAAGATATGAATATAATCAGCTCACAACATCTCCATACTCCTTGCTATACTTCTTTTCAAGTTTTCTTTTTATTTGATCACATGATCACAGATACAGGTATGCTGTCTAAGAACTATTAGTAAATAGCATCAAAAATTAATTTGATCCTATTATGAATACTAAATTAACACAAATGAATGATCTGTGTCAAAGTTCAATATCAACAAGACCAATGCAATTTTTGTGACAGTTTTTAAGCATGCTATTTGTACCTAGTCTATTGTGTTGCGTTTTGATTTTCTCCGTGTAATTGCCATGTATTCTGTACTTTAATATTATCCAGAGAAATATTGTTTTTCATTAATATATAAACATAGTTGAAGACTTCTTTTTTACATAATTGTCTTTATAGTTTATAATTTACCAAGGTGTCTTTATTCATGTATAAGCCATATTCTATTTCTGAAATGATATACTTGGAAGAAAAATAAAAATCTCAGAATTCTGCCAAGAGATGAGAGTAGAGAGACAGTGTAAAATATTGACCTTTTAACAGAGTGGGAACAAAAGAGGTGCGACCTTGTCAATTGGACCCATGTGCGGTCTGGCAATATACCACTTTGTAAGGTGTTGACTTGTAAACAGAGGGAAAACAACAGAAGCGCTGACTTTGTCAATTGGACCCACCTGTAGTCAGACATTAGACCATTTGCCATATGGCAGTGTTTTTCAACCTTCTTGAATATGCGACCCTTTACAAGTTAAAAAATTTTGGTGACCCCAGGGCCCTATTAAAATTATATCAGTGATTTTAAAAACTATGTATTTAATTTTCTTTCTATTGAGACAAATTATTGTTGATTAAAATGAAAGTTTTATAAGAATCAACAATAACTTAACACAGATAAAGTATGAAACTTTCTTTAATTATAACATTGGGCACAGGGAGCCGTTGACTTTTTTTTTCCCCCTGGCCCAAGCCCCTCCCTGGCTACACCCATGGTTGAGACCTAAATATCGATCAAAACACCAATTGTACTGTAAAATAAACAGGTACAGCCTTCTTGTGAAATTGTAGGTTTTTTTTTTATGTAGTGTACGACCTACAAACACTTGTCTTTTTCTTTTACCCGCGACCCACAGGTTGAAAAAAAATACTGCCATATGGTAAACAACTGAATATAAACAAGTGGTGGACGTTTATGTGAGCTCCATTCTCGCGGGATGACGGCAGACCTGAGTGTAAGCTGTTTGGGCAGGAAAGGGTTGTGATTGGTCGGAAGTCCCTGTATAAAAAGCTCTTAAATTGTGGGGCGAATGAGAGAGCAAGAGACTGGTACATTTTAGTCTCAGGCACTTGGGATACCCGCTGAGCGTAGAGAGAGTGTTCTCCTCTGGTAAACATCTCAGGGACAGGTTAGTGCGGAGACTGGATGGACCGTGCAGTTGAGCTAACTCCACAAGCTGACTGAGGCCTCTCCAAAGTTTAACAGTTCCTGGAAACCAATCTAGTACGTGAGTCACTATGCATTGTTATCCTGTATATATATTATGTTTTCGAACTTGTACTTTCTGCATATAGAATTTGTAAATAAACTGTAAATATTATCAATTTGAGTGTGAAGGTATGCTTTCCGTCGAAACGTGATACACACAGAAACCAACTCAACGAGACGGAGGTTGGGAAAGAACTGCACTCAGGTCTTCACTCACAGGTATACAGAAATATAATAACACTGCAAATTCCAAACAAAAGGATGAAGTGATGGTTAATATTTATTGTTGAGTGTCTGATCAGTATATGTTAAACATGGGTTGAGTGAGAGTGAGTTACACAGTGAAGTATAAATTGCAAGTGGTGCATTATGCACAAGAAAATGGAAATCAAGAAGCAGGAAGAAAGTTCGATGTAGACAAAAAAAAATGTGCAGCAGTGGATTCAAGCAAAAGGACTTTCTTGAGAAAATACTACAGAATCAGCAATTATTTTGTAGAAAGACAGCAAAATATCCTGATCTGGAAGCAAATCTGTTGAACTATATCTGTAAAATTCAGGCAAACGGATTTCCTGTGTCTGTTGAAATGATTCAGTTTGAAGCCCGAAAAATTCTAAAATTTTCATATTTTGGGCAAAGTGAATTTAAGATAAGTTACAACTGGGCAAGATGTTTTGTGACATGTCATGAGCTTGTGCTTCAGCATTGAACTTCAATGGTGCAGCGGCTTACTCACACCTACCTAATTTTAAATTGATTTAAAATATTCATATTCTTGAGTATAGGCTGCACTGTAATTTTGGTAAAACAAAATGCAGCCTATACATGCATAAATATTATATATAACCTGATTTAAAGGTTTGCCTTTGATTTTTCTCTCTCTCTAAAATAATTTGCATTCCAATTATAAGAATTTTTATATAAAGTATAATTATCTGGGAAATATCTATACTTAGACATTCATGCATGCTTAGAATTTTCAGATTGTATTTATTCTGACGTTACTCATTTAGGTATGATTTTTGTCACTTCTCTTAATAGTTATCGTAAATTGTCATTTCTATGAATATTTATATTTTTAAACATATGATTTGATTATTATGTTATAAAGTTTAAACTTTTGGAATACAAATACAGCATTTAAAAAAAATCACTTAGTTCATTTAACTCATACCATTCAGAATTATCTTATTTTCACAATAATTTCTAATTATTTAATTAGTCATAATATTTATTAAGAAATACAAGAACAATAGAGAATATGTAAGGAAATATTATGGTAAACAGCTTTTGAAATAGTATAGCTCAGATATAATTAAATAGTATTCATAATCTATTTTACGCTAAATTAAAAGAAAGTGTTTTTTATTTTTAAACCCAGTCTCATAATTTATATTATAATTTTTTGTTTTTTTTTTGGTTAAATTTATGTATATTAAATGTTTTATTTTTAGATTGGAGTTAGTCAGACACTTTATGAAAAAGCCAAAGGAAAGGAAGGTGCTATCAACATCAGCAGTAACTGTCCTGAAATTAGAGGAATGGATGTGACAAGCAATACTTTTAATCAAGAATTTGTAAGTTTAAAAATATTTTATCAAAATTTCCTCAAGTATACATTTTAAATCTATAGAATATTCTACAATTCTGATAGTTGAAATCATCTTAAATTCTACTTAATTGAAAATTTCAGAGAGTTTTCAGTAGAATTTTCTGCATATTATTCTTGATAGCTGACATATTGAACACAATCTTAAAGTTTACATGTTTCAATTAATCATTTATTTTCTTATTGCTAATCTCTTTTCAAAATGATATAGTATTTGTTCTTTTGATATTGTTAACCCAGCGTGAGTGTCATACCCGAGAAGATTTTAAATGCAGATTATTTAATGTTATTGTTGCCATGCAAATCCCATTGTCACAGTAGCTGGAGGTAAGGGAATGGGGGCAAGGCGGAGTGTTGAGTTTAGTGTTCCGCCGGTGTCAGCGGAAGATACACATGAGCAAAGGTGGCTGGGGGTAAGTCACACCCGACCTCATAGTCGGTGTTACATTTTTGAGTTGACAGTAAGTTTGAGTTATAGTTATTTATAGTATTTTTAGATTTATTTGTAGATTTCTCAAATGATAGTCTTCGCATTAGACAAAAAAACACATCTTTCAAGGGAAACTCGAAAAGTAATTACTGATCAACTGGGAGAACCTTCATTAACTGTTTCCAAAAAAATGGCTAATAAATATGTCAGGTGTGGTGAGTGTACTAAAAAACAGATAGGAAAACAAAACATTGCTGTTCGAAGTGTGAGAAGCCAAAATGTATGAAGCATGCGATTTTTGTGTGTGGAGATTGTGCTGATTTGTAGGTGTAATGTTGGTGCTGTGCACATTGATCTCATAAGAACTTTTATTTTTTTTTCTATTTTTATAATTGAAAGATACTATAGTTATGTTGATTAACCAAAGAAGTTGTAATTTTGTTAGAATTTTATACGAAAAAATGTTAAACTACCAAAACTTGTACTTTTTCAAAGAAAATATAGACACTTTGTTTTTTCAATTAAAAAAAAATGCTTTTCAATCTTAAACATAATATTTTATTTACTCATCTTGTTGAATAGATACTATTCTTATTATCCCAAGTGAAAAAATACTTTATACACAATTATAGTATAAAAAATTCGGCATCAAAGTTTCGGGTATCTCCTACCCACCTCATAGCTGGTATAACAATTTCTCACCTCATTCACGCCGGGTTAATTTAAAATCTTAACTATTGGAACAATTTCATATATATAAAACCAATCAGATATTTTAACAGTGATGTTAGTAAGTGATTATTCTGATATAATCACAAATCCTACACTTTTAAGGTTTAGGAGTGTTAATTTATATGCTTTCCAGTATTCATGTAAGAAAACTTTTAAATCCTGCACCTTTGATTGACCCTTAGTACATATAAAAGAATTGATTATTTGTAATATAAAATATGATAAAAATTTCAGTTTAAATATCTTTAAAAACTGCAAGTGCCATTTTAATTCCAGTTAAAACAAATGAAAATAACGAAAGTAATTATAATCCACAATTTAATGTTCAGCACTATCCATAAATAAGTACATAAGGTTAAATTGTTATTTTTACTATTTTCTATTTACTGTCACCATACAGTGGTGACAGTTGCATTTCATGATATTGGTTTTACCATCATTTTTCAAAAATTGAAAGTGACAAATATTTGTCACTTTCAATTTTTGAAAAATGATTTGTTTTGAAAATTTTTGAAAAATGATTCATAATTTGTCACTTTTAAGATTTTGTTTCCAATTTGAAGATTTGCTCATTTACATTCCATTACAGACTTGTCTTCAATGACTGCAGATTTTCTGTTCCTAAGTCTAGAATTTTTGCTCTTACTAGATCCTCTTAATTTTAGTTTCTTTGGAAATGCATTAATCTCTTTCTTGTTATATGTTAGTTGTTTGGTTCTACATTTATGCCTTTTTCTTGTTTTAATCTTTCTTCTAAAATTCATTTGCAAGCTGCAAAGAACTGGCTGTTCCTCTGCTTGAATTGCCATAAATTTGACTTGGGTTGTTTTGCTACATATACAGATGATGATAGAAAACATACGTTACCATTTATCACAAAATGCAGTAAAATGCTATGTTAATGATGTGAAACTGTCAAATGTTTTATCAATGGTTACATTGTTAAAACTAGTGTTGCCAGAAAATTTTTATCATAATTATTTTAAAAGTGAATGAGAATTATTCTCATTAATATTAAAGTAGCAGAATGATTGAATATTTATTTATATTAATATTTTTTTATGGGAAATTGTTAATTAAATGCATCATCTGCTTGATAATCTATTTCTTCAAATAAAACGTAACATACAGAAGAATAAAATTCAATGACTATGTTTGCATATATGTATATATAAATTCCTATAAATAGTCAATTATTTACAATTATTATAAGTATAAATAGCTATTTGCTTATTTTATGTGCATATTCAGTATATCTTTATTTTGTATACATTTTAAATAAAATTTACAAAAATTATTTTCAAGCTATAAATATTTTCATAGATTTGAAACTAATAAAGATCTATTATATTTTATGAAGTCTGAAAATTTATTTTTTACTAAAGCAGGGCTTCTTAAACTATGGGTCGCGACCCCATTTAGGGTCACTTAGCGAAATCGTGGGGTCGCGAGATTTTAATGCAAAATTTTGACAATAAGTTATGAGAATTTGAAAATGAGGCATGCTTTGTGTCATAAGTTTCGTCAGTTGCGCTTTGTGTCACTTCTGGTGCAGCGAGTCAATGATTCAACAACACTGATTGTAGTGTAAACTAGTGTAGTCTTGTCACTTTTCAGCGCATTTATTCAGTTGTTTCTGTTCAATTGTAACACAAGAGTGAAGTATGGTAGCACACCATTGTTTTTGCGAATTTGTATATATCTTTATTTTATATTTTTGGGTCGCAAAAAAAATCACAATCATATATGGGGTCATGAATAAAAAAAGTTTAAGAAGCCCTGTACTAAAGTATCAAATATTAAAAATTTATAGCAAATTATGTAATTTCTTTTGTCTTGTAGCCTTCTTTACAAGGGGATGGATCTATTGATTCTACTTTTCAACCTCCAGTAGTTAATGGTGGAGCTTGGGGTATGTATAATAATAAAGTTTATGACCATACATTTTTTATAATAAGTTATTTTAGAACTAATAAAGCATCATTAGAGATAATTAATATAAGCATCCAATAGAAATCCTTTAAGTGTGTGTTTGTTTCCCATAAAATATAGATGTTTTGATGTAATTAATTTTAGTTATGAAAATAATTACTCTTCTTGCTAAAGGTTGCAGTAATTCTGTTTGCTTATGCCAGTAAATATAGATTGCATATGAGTCAACCAAAATGGCTGCCACAAAGGCTATAGTATAAAGTGCCTGACAACATACGATGGATGATAAAGACAACATAAAAAAGGAAGAGAAAGCTGGAATATATAAAATACCACTTGAAAACCAACAGTTAGGAATCTAAAAGGATTATGTGGGTTTGACTAGAAGAAACCTTGCAGTACATCTGTGAGAACATAAGATATAATGTTGACAAAAGACACAACACAATATTAGCGATTATGGTGCAGACTAAAGCAGCGGTTGTAAAATGGAAATAGGCAAAAGTCGTTAAAAGGGTGCACTCTCCATCCATTGCATTTGAGATGGGAAAGGTTGAAATTTATAAAAGTAAAATGAAAAATTGTTGCCTAAATGCTAGGGATGCTAATGTGATTCCAACAGCAAGGAAATATATAATAGAAAAAAGAATGGGGCTTAAAAACCGTTAAATCATATTTCTTTCTAGTTAGCTTTGTTTTATTTGTTTATTTAATATACACACTTCTTTTAATTTATTTTTAAAGTTAAATTATTTTTTTGAATTTTAAATATGTAAAATATTCAAAAACAGTATGTTTCATGAAAATGGCTTATATTAGAAAGGTTGAAAATGTTTGTAAAAATAAAAGAATTTTAAGCTCAGCAAAATTAGATGTTGGTGAAATTGAAGTGATAATTTCAGTTTTATTTCCCACTTTTTTTGCAATAATTTATCTTTTGGGAATATGTGCATATGTACTGGGTTTGATGACCCTTTAGACTTACATCCAAATACACAGCAATACTTATTATTTACCATTGTAGGTTAAACACTTTCTAATTCTAACAGACCACAGACTTTATACCCATAGCAGCTGTTATTTAGTTCATGCTAATACCATTAGGTGTCAGATCTATTGTTGGCACAGGCAAATTGACATAAATACAATAGAAAATAGCAGAAAGCAAATGTAAATTTAATATAACATTTTTTTTTTTTTTAAACAAATGCTTTATCACTACAAACATTATAGTGATAAGAGTGTTTTATAAATTTAACTGTAAGTAAATAGGAAAAAAATGTTTAATAATCCATATATATAAAAAAATTAATTTACATGCATCATACACACACAGACAGTATTAGTATTATGCGTATCTTAAAGTTGTAATTATGAAATTAAATTGTTATTTTTAAAATAAAATTTTTGATACAAAAATGAGGTTTAACATATATCTTATTTATCAATCAGAAAAACCAAGAAATGCAAAAGTTCACTGTAGTCAAATTGGAAAAAAAATTCAATTAGTAAAGAGAGGTTCCAAACAAGACAATGGAATTGATATAAGAAGTAAAAGTCCTTCAGGTAAATGACTATTAAAATATTATTTTTCTGTTTTAACATAAAACTAAAACAAGATCTTATAATTTGATTTTAAACCAAATAATTATTTATACTATGACTTTTCCAAATTAAATATAACAAGAAGTTGTTAATTAAGAAGTGTGTGTGTTGTCATGCATATTTTGTGATATAATTGATAAATATGAGAATATTGTGATTACTGTTTGATGTTTTTTCCCTTTATCTTTTGGGACAACAATGTGCTGACAAAACTCAAATTCTTTCCATTTTTATAAACTGTATGCATGATCAAAACTTGCTTTTGAAATGCATTTGTGTTTAATTTATTAGATTTACTTTGAATAATTAAACTAGATGTGACTTTATCATTCTAAGGATATCTTTTTTATTCATAATTAAATAAATTTAGTTAGTTATGAAATGTGTAAAAGTAGTGTGAAATGAAATTTGAATGCTCAACTCTCTCAAACTAAGCATATATGTTGCCAGTTGTTCAAACATTGGAAGCAAGATCCTTTACCAGTCATAATTTAGAAAATATGAAGACTTTTTTCCCTCCCTGCAATGGAATCCTTACCAGTAAGTCATGACAGCTGCTGTCTTGTTAGGCTGCAATAGAAAATGAGAGTATTTGGGTTGACGGGGGTCACATTTACTATGACAGCAGGCAAAAAGGTATAGACTGACGTGAAGACTTCATTTCTATTTGTCATTGAACACCAAATATAGCATGGAAAGCTTCCATTGTGACTATATGCAAGAATTTTTTTTCAGTTATAAAATGCTAATCAAATTAATGAGAGATAATATTTTGTTTGAAAAAGACCAACCTTCTTATGCAATAGTCACCATTGAACTTAGACTAGGCTGTAGTTAACATGTCATCCAATAAATAGGTTTAAAAAAGTAGCTTTGATTCATTGCATGAATGTTTTACATAATTTAGAACAAATATACAGTAACTAGCTGTTACTTGTGACTTTGCCCGCAGAGGTTTTGCAAGCAAACCCCATTTATATTCAGTATTTCAATGACCATAGTAATTGTTATATAACACCTACCGCTGAGAATGATGAAAATTGTTGAGAATCAAACAAACTACTTTCAATTTGATCAATTTTCTGGAACGTTTATAATCGTTCTATAATTGAACCAATATGCAATAACAAATTAGAATTTAAAACGGTTCAAACATTTGGTTAAAAAATCAAAATATATAAAAATATTTATAACAATGTTTGAAATGTTATTAATTTAATATACCTAATTACTCAATGAAGACTAAACGTTGTTGAAAACAAAAAATCGCATCTAAAATAGTACAGTAGAAGCTGTTCTTCCGGTTAAGCCTTAATGCTCTCCCTCTCCCCCCACTGGGTAATTTTGAAAAATCCCTTCTTAGTGCGTTTACATGATGTACCCTAACTGTGTACCAAATTTCACCTCTAGGTTCAGCAGTTTGTTCTGGGCGATGATGAGTCAGTGACTCAGTCAGTCAGGACAAGTAATTTTATATATTTAGATTAGTCTTTATTTTTGCTAAATATCAACTTGGTATCTTGCAGGTTTAACAAGATTGAGCCAATCAAACTTGAGTCACAGGCATTAAAAACATAGATCACTGCGTCACCCCCTCAATGAACATAGACCACTGCATGTTTAATATTTTGTTGCATTGCCTTTGCGGCCAAAACACATTCCATACATTTCAGCATGCTGTTGACCTTCATCTGCCGTTATGGAATTCCAGTTAGTTAAGATGGAAGCTTTCAGTTTTTCAACTGTCCGAGGGCAGATGCAGACGTCTCTTCATAATGTTCCGTGTTTTCTCAATTGGTGAAAGATCTGGGCTGTTGGATGGCCAAGGAAGAACTTCTATGTTCTTTTCTGCAAGCCACTGATTTGTTTTTCTGCTTGTATGACATGTGGCCCCATCGTGCTGGAAAGTGCAGGTTCTATTTGGATATAGCTTTGCTATGGATGGAAATAAATACTGCTGTAGAATGTTAATGTATTGCTCTGAAACAGGTGTTCCATCAACAACTGACAACAAATGTCAACTGACCCATACCACTGGTGCTTATACATCCCCAAACCATGAAGCTGGCAGGAAACTTCACTGAGTGGTATAACAACAATGGCTCATTAGCTTGATTGGCAGATCAAATAACACTTTTGCTTTTGTCTTTTGCTGATAATTCAAAGTTTGATTTATCAGACTGCAGAATTTCATGCCACTTTTGTTGAGACCAGGAAAGATGTTCTTTGGCTCACTTTACCCATTTCTTCTTTTGATATGCTGTTAGTAAAGGTTTTTCACGTGCTGCTTAGAACTGGAAATGCATTTCTTGCAGTCTCCTGTGTGTTGTCGAAACAGGTATATTCTTTCCAGTTGTATCATTCCGTATTATAGTTACATTCAATATCTGTGGCACAGCGGTTGTTTTTTACAATTCTTTTAAAACTCCTATCATCAACTTTTGAAGTTTTTTGCTGATGTCTAGCAGCTTTGTTAATTATAACATGGCCATGGTTAGTGTAATAAACAATAATCTGGTGCACTGTTGTCTTGTTTAGCATTAGCTCTTTTCTAATAGCTCTCTCAGACATGCCACGACTTTGTTTAACAATGAAAGCATTCCTTAAATCTTCTGAAACAGCTTTTCTGCTATTAAAAAGTTTTGCTGGAAAGAAGAAGTTATTCTTCTTTCTAGCAAAACTTTTTAATAATTTGTCAAAACATTTTTTGGCTTGATTTATAGTCTGTCATCAGATCTGAAGCAAACTATATAACAAGTATTGCATACTATTTTGGAACACTGATTAATTCCATTATGCATATATAACATTTAAAAAAATTTTGATGAAGCATCTATAGGGAAGAGATGCAGGACACAGTTCAAGAATGATTCCATAAGCAACCATATATACAGGGTGAGTCAAAATTATGTGAACAATCTTAATTTTTAATTAAACATTATTAATGAAACATCTTAATTTTGTTTAGTTTTCGATTCCAATTGATCACGACAGACTGTTGTTATGGCCTCCCCAATCTCCGGTGTTCTGGCACTAAATTGTACTGTTGAACGTTGGTTTGAGTGCATTAATCATGCTGGTGCTCAGGTTGAGACACTGTATAATGCAAACTTTGAATAAATGCTTTCTCTCAAATAGTGTTCACATAATTTTGTTGACTCTCTCTCTCTCTCTCTCTCTCTCTCTCTCTCTCTTTGTGTGTGTGTGTGTGTGTGTGTGTGATAGATGAATGAGGTGAGGATTTTTTTAAATTTCACTTTTAATGAAACAAACATTTTTGACCTCTTATGGGTAAAAATGTTTGTTCTGTTAAATTTTTTACTGGAAAATGTACAGAAGGCGTTGAGTTTATAATTTCTGTGATTTATAAGAAATAAGAATTTTCTTAAAATCTTTGTTTTATACCTAATTTTTAAGTTATATACATAAAAAAAAGGTAAATGTTATTCAAATGAAACATAAGCTGGACCATATAAAACATATGGTGACCAATAACATTAGCTGCTATAGGAAATTACCTTTTGCATTTGTGAGAGTAGCCGGGGGTACTCTAATCCGCTAGTGATTGTTCGTACCACTTAATCGGCACAGATTATCCGAAATCTGTTCTCTGAGTTTCGGATCAAGAGATCCGATCCTATGTCAAGATTCGTTTGACCGGGAGGGCTGTAATATTTAGGTAAAAGGGGGGATTCAAGACTGTGAGGTCTTTATCCCAAATGTCAGGGTCCCGACACCAGTTTGTCAATTTATCGATCCGCGGACAAACACGCGTGCAATTGCTTTACAGATCTGATTCAGACTCGAATTAAGAGACATATTTTATATAAAACAAACAAGAGTAAATTTAATGATTCAATATAAGTAAAACTAATACAAATATCAATGAACGAGGGATATAAATACGACAATTAAGATACACGATATATAGACTTATACTATACCCGATATGAGAGAGAGAGTTACAATCATTGTTTGAAACTTACGACCTGTTCTAGTTGTCGTTCGTCTTCTTCTCTGTAGGCAAAGGACACTTTGGAGATAAAGTTCATTTACTTCTTTCCATGGGAGATCAATATGTGCACAAAGTCAAAGTATAACTTCTCAGTGTTAACTCTGGAATTCTTCTATGTGACTCGTCTAAGGGCGTTGGTCATCAGGAGGAAAACATNTAGAATTTTCTGCATATTATTCTTGATAGCTGACATATTGAACACAATCTTAAAGTTTACATGTTTCAATTAATCATTTATTTTCTTATTGCTAATCTCTTTTCAAAATGATATAGTATTTGTTCTTTTGATATTGTTAACCCAGCGTGAGTGTCATACCCGAGAAGATTTTAAATGCAGATTATTTAATGTTATTGTTGCCATGCAAATCCCATTGTCACAGTAGCTGGAGGTAAGGGAATGGGGGCAAGGCGGAGTGTTGAGTTTAGTGTTCCGCCGGTGTCAGCGGAAGATACACATGAGCAAAGGTGGCTGGGGGTAAGTCACACCCGACCTCATAGTCGGTGTTACATTTTTGAGTTGACAGTAAGTTTGAGTTATAGTTATTTATAGTATTTTTAGATTTATTTGTAGATTTCTCAAATGATAGTCTTCGCATTAGACAAAAAAACACATCTTTCAAGGGAAACTCGAAAAGTAATTACTGATCAACTGGGAGAACCTTCATTAACTGTTTCCAAAAAAATGGCTAATAAATATGTCAGGTGTGGTGAGTGTACTAAAAAACAGATAGGAAAACAAAACATTGCTGTTCGAAGTGTGAGAAGCCAAAATGTATGAAGCATGCGATTTTTATGTGTGGAGATTGTGCTGATTTGTAGGTGTAATGTTGGTGCTATGCAAATTGATCTCATAAGGCCGTTTAGTTTTTTTTTTTCTATTTTTATAATTGAAAGATACTATAGTTATGTTGATTAATCAAAGAAGTTGTAATTTTGTTAGAATTTT